TTTATTTAGTCCTCATGACCACTTTATGGTATCCTATTATTGTTCTCATTTCATAGATAGAGAAACCAAGGCCAGAGAGACTGAGCTGTCCAAAGTCACTTGAGCTAGTAAGTGGCAACACCAAGATTCAAATTTTGTCTGACAGAATCCAGCAACTGTGCTCTTAAACACTGTTCTCCACTACCCTCCACACAGGACCTGAATGTCTACGCTTACATCCAGTCTAACTCTGTGATCTTGGGGACATTATTTAACTTCTGTGAATCTCGGTTTTCTCATCTGTAAAATGGAAGAAACATTCCTTGTCTCTTCAAGACATTGGGAGAACCACATGGGAAAACATTTGTATAACACCACAAGCACAACAGGTGACTCACAGAAGGTGCCTGACAAATATTTCCCTTCACTTCCACTTCCTCATCTGTACCAAGATGGCTGAAACACCAGCCCAGAGATTTGCTCCATGTAATGCAATGAAGGTGTGCTCTCCTGACTACATACAATGTCTCATCTGCCTAGAGTGCCCCTTCTGGTTTATTCGATCTGCAAGCTGTACATTGTGACCCATTAGTGAGTTATTAAATCAAGTTGATGAGCTGTGGCCTTCATTTTTTTTTTTTTTAAAGGGAGACAAATAGAATGGAACACAACAAAATCCACTTTACATAAAAAGCACAATTTAATAAAAAAAACTTTGTCTATGTATTTACTGGGACACGATGAAGAATGTTTTTCTTACTTTGAGTAAAAAGACTTGAAAACGTGTAAGTTAACTCACGTAAGATCTTTAAGGACCAATTTGGGTATCTTTGCATTACAAAGCAATTAAAGATGCCAGGCCTTTCTAGAGATAATTTTTCACACCACACTGCACTGTGATTGTCATCTTCTCATCTGTTTCTCCCACTGGATGGAAGGTTCTTATGACAGGAAACTTTGACTTTTATGGCTGAGTCCTCAGTATCCATTATAGGTCTTGGCACAAAATATACACTCCAAAACAGCTTGATAATGTACAAATAAATCAAAGCAAATGACTTTTAAACCCAAATTCAAGACAGAGAGATTATTCACTTAAGCTCTCAAAATGGATACCTTTAATTAACTAATGAACATGGGCCAGGCTTCACTCTTTCCTGCGATCTTTTACTCCCATTGGTGGACTTGGCTGCTTTTCTTTCCTCCTCTCCTGATTCTTCAAGCCCTGGGTACTCCTGCTCTCCTTTATATTATGAGAGGCACTTTCCTTAGCTGTTTGCACTTCTGTGTGATTTCAAGCAGCTGCTTCTCTGACCTTTCTTAGTAGCATTTGAATATAAAGGTCCATTCCTGTTAGTAACAGGAAAAGCTTTGTTCTCTGTCATAGGGATGCATTCACCAGCTGGTAGGTAAGAGCGCGTATCTTAGAGGCAGGGAGAGCTCCATCTGCCCACATAGCCTCGAAACACGTGCAAAAAAATCTGTATTGCAGTGGCTCGGGAGCCCAAGTGCATCTACGTCTGAAGAATTCATAAATGTACTTGTGGAGCATTTTGAAAAATATTTTATTCAAATTTTTTACATTTTATTTACTTTTAAGGTTCTACAGCTCTATGTTTCACAATGCAGGAAATACACAATACAAAGAGCCTAGTAAATCAAATATATCCAAATCATTCGCACAGAACAGGTACAGTGTTAGCATAAGCAGCAATCAACTCCATTTGCATAGCATCACCAAAGCACTTTGGGCGCCTTACACAAAAGATTCAAAGAAGGAAAATAATTACAAATAGATTGGAAAATAGAGACGGTTGGCTCAAGTCTGAAACCCTGCCTGGCTCGGATGTGCGGATTCCCCCTCCCTCCTTTCGGCACTTTCAGGCAAACAAATTGCTATCACCTGGGAGGACTACTTCTGGTGAGGGAATGAGGCCAGCTCATGCAGCATCCTGAGAAGACGCAGGATCCTGAGAAGACGCAGCCTCTCAGACACAGCCGGGGTGGGGGTGGGGGGTGTGTGTGGGGGGGAGGATATGTGTGTGTGTGTGTGTGTGTGTGTGTGTGTGTGTTTGTGTGTGTGTAGGGAAGAGGAGGCAACTCCTAGGGGAAGGGGTGGTTTTGTGGCACAAATATTCTACAAGTCAGCTAAACTGTTTATCACAGAACAAAGAGAGGCTGTTAGCTTTCTGGTTTAGGTTTTGGCTTCATGGAAAAATACCAATAAAACTAAAGAAATCCCATATGTCCTGCAGCGCAGTTTATCCTGTGTAACCCCCAAGGGGTTTATGTTTGAGTTTCTCCTCTTGGCTAACCTATTTCTTCATCTAAGAGTTGGGGGCTGTGCTGCCAGAAGCAGACTGGGAATCATAGCTCAAGTGCATTCAACAGCTGATACCGCAGAAGCTGAGCCCTTGGGAGGCCGAATGCAAAGGCAGGGAGAAGATCTGACTCTGCCACCAAGATCTGACTCTGACTCTCCCCTTCTGGGGCCGCAGTTTCCTGTCCTGTCAATTAAGCCGTGGACCTGGGGTTGGCTAAGATTCCATCCAGCCCTAGACTTCCATAAAGCTAAGGAGAATAATATTCCAGGATGTCATTCTGAGATTAAAGAAACATGCTTATCATCTGATATTTATATAATCAGAGAAATCCTGTTACTCATTTATTTTGAGAGAGGAACTTGGTTGACTTTCTAAAATAAGTACAACCAACTGGCACCAGCCCTATTCCAGTGCTCTAGATAAAGCAAGCATCACTATGAAAATCCTATAGCTAAATCTGGTGTAACTCACCCCCCCTCTGTAAAAAATAAAGAGTGGGGGACAAAGGTACAAAGTTGCTGGATCATTTTTAGTAAGAATTCCCCTTAGGCCTTGCTAGTTCATTCTATTTGATTGCCTTGTCATTGCTGTTGTTGGGGTAGGCACATCGTATGAGAACAAGGCCGAGGTGGGGGAGGTCTTGAAAATTCTTTTCCTCTGATTTTACTCTATGCATGTCCCCTACCTCTTCCAATGTTATGCCTCTAAGAGTCCTTTAGATGCTAAGGACAGCCCTCTAGGTACTAACTAAAGTATTAATAATTATACATTTGGAAAACAAATACCATATTATTTGTATAGTGGAGAGATCATCTGGAGAATTTCCCAGGAAGTGTCAGCTATTTTTTTTTTTTAATTTTAAGTGTCATTTGAAAGAGGTCCTCCTTTCAATTCCATTTCCAACTATTAGAATGTGATACAAGATAAGATTCTTTATTACCTTAAGTCTTGATCTCTTTTGTATGTCATACTTTTATTTATCATTTTAGAGAATAAAGGTTTGGGTCTGATTAATACTACTCTTTAAAATAAGTCCACTAGTTTTACACTCCATTACTGTATCACCCAATTTAATTTTCCTAACCGTCCACAACTTAATTCAAAAGACTAAATTCCTACCAGTATATTTTCAGCAAAATTTTTCTAGTACATTAATATTTTTCTTCACTCTATTTTTTTAATAAGATAACAGTATGGCAATTTTTCCTTCCAGTGTTATTCTATATACCCATTTCATTTGCATAAACTGATTTTTCTCTATCCTATTAACCCAATTGGCTTTTCCCAATCTGCTATCCAAGACTAAAACATTTCAAGATTTAAAATATTTTGCATCACAAAGACCAGCAACATAAAGCCGGTGAGGAGAAAAGAAATAGCTACTTTCCATCACATCTGTGACTTCACTACAAGACATGTTCCAGGGTGGTTCTTAATAGTTCCTGTTGTGGATTACACTGCAGTATATCTGAATAACCTTGTGAAATTCAGTCAGTCAAATTTGGAACATTAATAGTCAAAAGTAGTTTCTCTTTGTTTTATCCTGTTTTTATCTTAAATCTTGGGCTTTTGAAGTATTAGAACCTCCTGGAATAAGGAGGGACTCTATGCTTGTTCTAGGTGTCCAGCAACTCAAGGCCATCAAGAATGTGCCACCATCTGGAATCCTGCTCCCTTCTTGGCCCTGCTGTGCCTACCTGATACACATAGAAGATAACTTCATAGCCAAAGTGGAATCAACAGGGCACATCAATTCAAGTCCATAATTTAGTATCCATAGCATACCCTTCATGCGAGAAAAAGACAGTAAATTTCACGTGAGGAGGATATGACCTTAGGTGGAACTCGGACCAGATTCTGGGGCCAAGTGAAGAGAGGAGAATGCAGTGAGGGTGGGTATGGTTCCTCGTCTGGCCCATAGATTCACCTTGACAATGTATTAGATATCACTTCCCCCCTTTGGTTGTTAGTACTTATATTACTTTAAAAATTACAGTCAGCACTGATGAAGTATATTTTGGAAGGAATATAGGAGGCTCGCATTAAGAAGAGGTACACATTATAGTTCAGTGATGATGAATCTTATTCAACAGTTAGCTAGAGGGATGAAAGACTGCAACACTTTTCAAGTTCAATCAGTCACTTTTTTTTTTTTTTCCAGCTGAATTAATGAATTTTGTCAGGCAAGGAACAGGTACCTTTCATAGTCTAAGAAACAACTGATCATGAGATACCACGGAAGAAAGTCTTTCCACTTGCTGGGAAGAAGCATGTAAGTCTCTAGCAGTGTGCTTTTGATTTTCAATCAATACACCAAGTTCATGCAATATATATCAAGCAGATCAAGAGGTGAGACAAGAATATTTTCTTCGTATATTGACAGTAAGAAAATGTCTAAGGTTTTGGTCCATATACTCAATTTAAGATGATCAGGAATGAAAATATCTCTTTTCATTATTTTTACTGCAACCAGTGCTGAGAACTTGACCCTGGACCATAACATTCTCAAAGAGCAACTTGTTAAAAGTAATGTAATAACATTTCAAAAACATCTTCAAAGTGGTTAAACTTGACGTCTTATGGTGATGAACTATTAATAAAAACACATGTTCCATAGCTACAAGGTGTTGCTTTTATCTCCTCAAGCTGGATTGCTCACAAAGTGCAGATCACAGTAAGAAATGCTCCGTTGCCTACCTGACATACAGGGAGCGTTTCTGATTGGTTCGCAGGGACCCGGACCCGGAGCTCATGCTGTGGTTCATCATCTGCTCGCGCAGGTCATGGATTTTGGCCTCAAATCGAGCGTAATCTGGAAAAGGAAACAAAGATGGTAGATTTGATCCCGTGCCTTCAGAAAAGGAGAAATGGTGCATAGCCAAGGCAGCTACCTGCCTCTGATGCTGGTTCCTTTGCCAAGTATCAGGGAGATGCACAACTCAGAACAATGAACACAGAGGGATCAGTTGCTTAATGTTATTTATTTGCAGACATTGACAAAAGGAAAAGGACAATTAGTTACTTCTCCAAATGTAACTAGAAAATATATCGCCATCAAATCCCCAACACGTGAAAAGTCCACGGGGGAGGAGGTATGTGAGGTTATAAACAGGCAGCACAGGGCATTCTTGTGGTGATGAAAATGTGCTGTCTTGACTGTTGGTAATGGATACTGAACGTGTGAAAAAATATTCTACACTTGACTACACTCACACAGACGAGTACAAGGAAAACTTAGAAAACTAGAATTAGATTGATGGATTACATCAATGTCAATATCCTGGCTATCAGAATGTGCTTTAGTTTTACAAAATGTTACCATTGGGGAGAACTATGAGTAAACATTACATGGATCTTCCTATAATATTCATTACAACTGTATATGAATATATGATTACCTCAAAATTAAACTTTAATTTAGAAAAGAGGGCAAAAAAAAAAAACAAACAACAAAACAAAATGCCCACAAAACACCAAGATCCATGAACAAAACAAATATCCAAGGAATTAGCAATTAGAGGGTTGCTAGAAGCTGATCATTTGGGATCACACTTCAATTTTGCCTTATAACTTTAATACAAAAAGTCCATGTCAAACTTCATCAACTCTAATATGCATTACACATTTAAATGAGCTTCTAGAGAACGGCATTGGAAATGGGGGTAAATATATTTTAGAAACATATGGGTCTAAAAAAAATCAAGAAAATGTAGGTATATATCACACTATTTCTTCATAGGAAAAGTATTTTTTCCATATGTCAATCCAATAAAAATGAAGACAGCACAAACAGGTTTTAAGATATTAGCACAATCAGCATGTAAAAAGGAAAAGCTTTTGAAGTTTTGATATTATTGATTACAATTTGTTCTATCTCCTTGGCATACAGTGTCTTGCTTTAGCAAAATCTAGTGGGTGAGAAGGTCAATTCACTCACAAGATAAATGTGAAAACGTTAGTTCAAATTTTAAATGGTTCTTTTAATTGCAAAGAAACTCACCATAGAGAATTTTTTAAATGCTAATTCAAATTATAAATTGTTCTTTTATAGAGAGAAACTCATCATAAAGTATTTCCTCAGTACATTTCAAAAAACAATTTGATTTTCAATTTAATTTATTCGTAATTTTTCATAAAAATAAGGATGACTAAATGAACATAATAAAAGATGATCTCCTTACAGTGTTTCAAATCTTATAATAAAAAGTTCCACAAAATTAAATTTAAATTCAATTTACTGACTATCTGTTGATTATTATGGGGTAGGATATCATAAAGGAGAAGATTTAACTTTGGTTTTCAGTGATAAGAAGATAACTGGATAATAACCTATGAATGCTAAATTTTTTGTTAAAGATTTTATTTATTTATTTGACAGACAGAGATCACAAGTAGGCAGAGAGGCAGGCAGAGAGAGAGGGGGAAGCAGGCTCACCACTGAGCAGAGAGCCTGATGTGGGGCTCGATCCCAGGACCCTGAGATCATGACCTAAGCCGAAGGCAGAGGCTTAACCCACTGAGCCGCCCAGGTGCCTCTGAATGCTAAATATTTTTAAAGTTTAGTACTCTAAAGATAAAACCATCAAAGTTGACTGGAAATTTCTGGTGCCTAAGCCAAGTCTTATGTAATCTGGATTTGGAAGCCTCCCTCTTCAATACAGCCATTTTTTTTTAAATTTTATTTTTTATAAACATATAATATATTTTTTCCCCAGGGATACAGGTCTGTGAATCGCCAGGTTTACACACTTCATAGCACTCACCATAGCACATACCCTACCCAATGTCCATAACCCCATCCCCCCTCTCCCAACCCCCCTCCCCCCAGCAACCCTCAGTTTGTTTTGTGAGATTAAGAGTCACTTATGGTTTATCTCCCTCCCAATCCCATCTTACTTCATTTACTCTTCTCCTACCCCCTTAACCCCCCATGTTGCATCTCCTCTCCCTCATATCAGGGAGATCATATGATAGTTGTCTTTCTCTGATTGACTTATTTCGCTAAGCATGATACCCTCTAGTTCCATCCACGTCGTCGCAAATGGCAAGATTTCATTTCTTTTGATAGCTGCATAGTATTCCATTGTGTATATATACCACATCTTCTTTATCCATTTGTCTGTTCATGGACATCTAGGTTCTTTCCATAGTTTGGCTATTGTAGACATTGCTGCTATAAACATTCGGGTGCACGTGCCCCTTCGGATCACTACGTTTGTATCTTTAGGGTAAATACCCAGCAGTGCAATTCCTGGGTCATAGGGTAGTTCTATTTTCAACATTTTAAGGAACCTCCATGCTGTTTTCCAGAGTGTTTGGACCAGCTTGCATTCCCACCAACAATGTAGGAGGGTTCCCCTTTCTCCGCATCCTCACCAGCATCTGTCATTTCCTGACTTGTTAATTTTAGCCATTCTGACTGGTGTGAGGTGGTATCTCATTGTGGTTTTGATTTGTATTTCCCTGATGCCGAGTGATATGGAGCACTTTTTCATGTGTCTGTTGGCCATCTGGATGTCTTCTTTGCAGAAATGTCTGTTCATGTCTTCTGCCCATTTCTTGATTGGATTATTTGTTCTTTGGGTGTTGAGTTTGCTAAGTTCTTTATAGATTCTGGACACTAGCCCTTTATCTGATATGTCGTTTGCAAATATCTTCTCCCATTCTGTCAGTTGTCTTTTGGTTTTGTTAACTGTTTCCTTTGCTGTGCAAAAGCTTTTGATCTTGATGAAATCCCAATACTTCATTTTTGCCCTTGCTTCCCTTGCCTTTGGCGATGTTCCTAGGAAGATGTTGCTGCGGCTGAGGTCAAAGAGGTTGCTGCCTGTGTTCTCCTCAAGGATTTTGATGGATTCCTTTCTCACATTGAGGTCCTTCGTCCATTTTGAGTCTATTTTCATGTGTGGTATAAGGAAATTATCCAATTTCATTTTTCTGCATGTGGCTGTCCAATTTTCCCAACACCATTTATTGAAGAGGCTGTCTTTTTTCCATTGGACATTCTTTCCTGCTTTGTCGAAGATTAGTTGACCATAGAGTTGAGGGTCTATTTCTGGGCTCTCTATTCTGTTCCATTGACCCATGTGTCTGTTTTTGTGCCAGTACCATGCTGTCTTGATGATGACAGCTTTGTAATAGAGCTTGAAGTCCGGAATTGTGATGCCACCAACTTTGGCTTTCTTTTTCAATATTCCTTTGGCTATTCGTGGTCTTTTCTGGTTCCATATAAATTTTAGGATTATTTGTTCCATTTCTTTGAAAAAGATGGATGGTACTTTGATAGGAATTGCATTAAATGTGTAGATTGCTTTAGGTAGCATAGACATTTTCACAATATTTATTCTTCCAATCCAGGAGCATGGAACATTTTTCCATTTCTTTGTGTCTTCCTCAATTTCTTTCTGAGTACTTTATAGTTTTCTGTGTATAGATTCTTAGTCTCTTTGGTTAGGTTTATTCCTAGGTATCTTATAGTTTTGGGTGCAATTGTAAATGGGATGGACTCCTTAATTTCTCTTTCTTCTGTCTTGTTGTTGGTGTAGAGAAATGCGACTGATTTCTGTGCATTGATTTTATATCCTGACACTTTACTGAATTCCTGTACCAGTTCTAGCAGTTTTGGAGTGGAGTCTTTTGGGTTTTCCACATATAGTATCACATCATCTGCGAAGAGTGATAGTTTGACTTCTTCTTTGCCGATTTGGATGCCTTTAATTTCTTTTTGTTGTCTGATTGCTGAGGCTAGGACTTCTAGTACTATGTTGAATAGCAGTGGTGATAACGGACATCTCTGCCGTGTTCCTGACCTTAGAGGAAAAGCTTTCAGTTTTTCTCCATTGAGAATGATATTTGCGATGGGTTTTTCATAGATGGCTTTGATAATATTGAGGTAAGTGCCCTCTATCCCTACACTTTGAAGAGTTTTGATCAGGAAGGGATGCTGTACTTTGTCAAATGCTTTTTCAGCATCTATTGAGAGTATCATATGGTTCCTGTTCTTTCTTTTATTAATGTGTTTTATCACATTGATTGATTTGCGGATGTTGAACCAACCTTGCAGCCCTGGAATAAATCCCACTTGGTCGTGGTGAATAATCCGTTTAATATACTGTTGAATCCTATTGGCTAGTATTTAGGTGAGAATTTTTGCATCTGTGTTCATCAAGGATATTGGTCTGTAGTTCTCTTTTTTGATGGGATCCTTGTCTGGTTTTGGGATCAAGGTGATGCTGGCCTCATAAAATGAGTTTGGAAGTTTTCCATTTCTATTTTTTTGGAACAGTTTCAGGAGAATAGGAATTAGTTCTTCCTTAAATGTTTGGTAGGATTCCCCCGGGAAGCCGTCTGGCCCTGGGCTTTTGTTTGTTTGGAGATTTTTGATGACTGTTTCAATCTCCTTACTGGTTATGGGTCTGTTCAGGCTTTCTATTTCTTCCTGGTTCAGTTGTGGTAGTTTATATGTCTCTAGGAATGCATCCATTTCTTCCAGATTGTCAAATTTGTTGGCATAGAGTTGCTCATAGTATGTTCTTATGATTGTCTGTATTTCTTTGGTGTTAGTTGTGATCTCTCCTCTTTCATTCATGATTTTATTGATTTGGGTCCTTTCTCTTTTCTTTTTGATAAGTCTGGCCAGGGGTTTATCAATCTTATTAATTCTTTCAAAGAACCAGCTCCTAGTTTCGTTGATTTGTTCTATTGTTTTTTTGGTTTCTATTTCATTGATTTCTGCTCTGATCTTTATGATTTCTCTTCTCCTGCTGGGTTTAGGGTTTCTTTCTTGTTCTTTCTCCAGCTCCTGTAGGTGTAGGG